TTCCTGCTGTTTCATGAATTACTGTGGTTCTTACATTGCACTTAAAGGTCTTCTTTGCAGGACTGGAAGTGTATCATTTCAATGCTATTGGATCAGAATCCCCGGACTGATTCTATTAATGATGAGGACTCAACCAACTTGATTAGACTTCTGTTTGCATCAATCAGAAAAGCTGTTGGAGAGAGGATAATCCCTACAACAGATAATCGAAAGCAGTATCACAGTAAAGCTCAACGAGTAAGATTCTGTCCTTGCTCTTTCAGAATATGTATGTGTTCTCTTAGTTATTCTGATCAACTGAGGCTTTAGAATCATGGGTGTCTTAAAAATGTTTCTCTTGTTTTTTCTTTATCTAAACAACATGGAGGAAATATCTATAAATTCTCTTAACTTGGCGTTCACTTCCTGAAAGATTTTGTGCCATGCTTCTTACGTACATCCCATCTGTCCCATTTTTTTTGTATCTTTGTTCTTGTCAAGGATGATAATAACTAGCTTGATAACAGGAAATGTTTGAGAACAACAGGCGGGACATAACAGTTGCCATGATGAAAAACTATCCGCAACTTCTGCGTAAATTCATGGCTGACAAAGCCAAAGTGTCATCACTGGTGGAGATCATTGTGCATATGAAACTTGAGCTCTATTCTCTTAAAAGACAAGAGCAGGTGACTAAAGGCTTTCTGCTGAACAGAGGAAATCGTTTTTCCTATATTAATCTCTCCCAAAGCAAGTGACCATTTGTCCTCTGTTTCAGAATTTTAAAACTGTCCTCCGACTAATTAAGGATGCGTTTTTCAAGCATGGTGAGAAGGAAGCATTAAGATCTTGCATAAAAGCTATTACATTCTGTGCCTCTGAGAGTAAAGGCGAGCTTCAAGATTTTTCCCGTAGTAAACTGAAAGATCTTGAAGACGAGCTTTTATCCAAGCTTACTTCTGCAGTAAAAGAAGTAGCGGTATGCTTTGCTTTGCCTTTTTATCTGCATCCTGTTCTTTATGGTTCCAATCTGACATCTGTCGCCAGTGCAGGATGACAATGATGAATACTCCCTCCTTGTAAATCTGAAGAGGTTGTATGAGCTTCAGTTGTCAAAGCCTGTGCTTGTGGAGAGCATGTTTGATGAGATCGTCACAACTCTACGCAATTTTAGAAACCTGGATGAAGAGGTTAGGTGCTCAAAGAATTGTGCGGAAAGTTCTTGGAATATGTTCCGTTTGCCCTTCGCACCTTAATGGATCTTTTTTCATGGTTGCACAGGTTATTGGTTTCCTGCTTTTGAATATGCTATTGTATGTTAATTGGTCTCTGCACTCCATCATAAATAGTGAAGAAGTCCCAGAAGCTTCCTTATCTTCCCTTTTGTCTAAACGCGATACCTTGTTCGAGGAGCTGTCGTACTTTCTGAACACACGTGAAGTTGGGGAGTCAAGGAAACATGGTACTCAGCTAGCTAGCAGGGTAAGACTATTAGACATACCCTTTGCAACAGAAAACATATTGCCTTTGAAATATGTGATTGTGTTCCCTGAGAACTGGTCGGTTCCTGTCTAATAAATACTCTTTTATGCTGCAGATTTGTGTTATACTCACTGAGGCCTGGTGTCTGTTTAAAAAGTCAACGTTTGACTCAGTTAATCTCAAAAGATTGGGGTATTGTCCAGACACCACTCTTCTCGATAAATTCTGGAAACTCTGTGAGGAATTGTTGAATACGTCAGGTGAGTGTTATTATCTTTTGTGAATCTTTCTCACAAGAAACATGGGAAAATCCATCTCAGATATTTTTGTCAGGATTGTTGTGTCATATTAGTTGTGAATAGTTTTTCATCCAACTTTTTCCCTGATAGAGGAAGGAGGCTAGTAGAGGATTTCTCAGCTGTTCTCTATCTTTAATTATAGTTCTCAAATGTATTGTTTATTGTACCTGGGATCAATCATTAATGTTAGATTTTTCAAATAATCTCTTTAATTGATGACACAGATGAGACAGATGAAGATGATGGAAACAAGGAGTATATAGAAGAGACAAACAGAGATGCTATAGCAATTGCTGCCTGCAAATTGATTGATTGTGATGCAGTGCCTAAGGTACTCACCAAACGGATGAATATTACTGCTCTCAATCTCTTAGCTTAACTAAAAGAGGTTTAATGCACATCTTAATTTCTGAAATATCATTGCTTTGGGCTACTGATTATATTTTGCTTTCCTCAAGGAATCTACTTTCACGTCAGCCTGTTGTAACTGTCATTACTATTCAGCAATATCATCTGGTTCCTTTTATTATTGCAGGATTTTCTTGGACCGGAGATCATTTCTCACTTTATCATGCATGGGACTACCGTGGCAGACATTATAAAGAATTTTATCACAGTCCTAAGGAAAAAGGAGTATGACATGTTTAATATCTTTCTGGAATCCCTGAAAAGGGTATGTATGGTAATCATAACCAAGAATTATCTGTTGTCTATTTTCCGCCTTGATGAATCCTACTGTTTAACGGTTTTCCCTTTTCCATTACAATAGTTTCTGTTATGTTTCTAAGTTATGTCATTTGCTTTGTTATCTAATTGTGATTACGGGAGGGTAAAAGTTATGGATCTTTGCAAGAAAATTCTGACACCTTTGAACTGGACAGGCCTATCATCGATATGTAAATGAGCTTTCCTGTGGCCATGATGAATTCAAAACAAGCAAGCGTCTCGAAGAGTGTAGGGAGCTTGCTGCTCGGCTGTCTGGAATGTACATCGGTGCTGCCCGGAACAAACACAGATTAGAGATTTTGAGAATCGTAAAGGAAGGCATTGAGTATGCTTTTACAGACGTCCCAAAGAAACTGCTATTCCTGGAAGCTGTTGTATTACCCTTTGCATCCAGACTTCCTGTGCCTGACATCATGGACATGTAAGGTTCATGTGAAATGACTCTCTAAGCAGCTGAGAACCGCCCGTTTAATAATTTCATACTCTCAACTGTTTTCTGAGCAGTCGGAGAGAAGTTCAGAAGCGAACGGTGAATGTTAAGTCAGATGAAGATCCCAGTGGATGGCGCCCCTGCTTCACCTTTTTGGAAATGCTAGAGGAGAGGTGCTCAAAGAACGAGGATTTCCAAGGTACGTACAATTTCATGGTATCCGGTTGCTTGAGATCCTAGTTTAATTAAGCTTCCTCTTTCTAGTTTATTTCACAGCAACACTTCCTAGTCAAAGCGGTTGGTTGAACCCAAGAAAGGATTCAAGAGATGTTACAGACTTTTAGTTGAAGCCCACAGGATAGGCTAGGAATCTACAATTGCAAAACAGTCTTACAATAGATAAAGCTATTGGGTTGGGGAATTTAAGTGAAGTTCATTCGTGTTTATGAGGCAAACTTAAAACATAAGATGCAATGTCCAAAATATGTTGGGGTATCCTGAGAAATGACGAATGCTTTGGCAGACGAGAGGGAAGGAGCAGTTGTAAGAAGAAGAAGGGGTCGGCCTAGGAAGCAGCAGCATGAAACCACAGAGAGGAAGAGACTCTTTGAAGAGCAGAGTGGAAGTGAAGAGGACAGTGGGTCCGACAAAGAAAAGCATGACGATGAAGACGACGATGAAGATGCACCTCTCATTGAAACAATCAGATCGGCTGCAAAACTCAGGGCTTCTCGAGTAGCTGCTAACAGAGAAAGGTCAAATGCATAATAAATGTGTTTGTCCGTATTCTCCCACTGATGAGGTGACCATAGAAGAGATTGATTTCTTCGCATTGGTCTATCATCTTCATCTGCTTCGTTACTTGACAGTAATCTATCTGCCTGTCTGTTTGTATTTACGTTGAGTACCCCTCCTCTCTAGAATTTCGTGTGTTGTATATTTGTAGGAACCCCATCTCCCTATCCTCCTGTCTTATTATATGCATTTGGTTTCCAGACGCCCAATTCTCCTCCATGCTTTTCTTGTCTTCCAAACGGGAAAAAAATATCGAAAGAGAACCAAGTGGAGATGCAGGGGATCGAACCCTGTACCTCTCGCATGCAAAGCGAGCGCTCTACCATTTGAGCTACATCCCCTACTGACAATCGGCTACAAAACTCATTTGAGAAACAGATTTCTCGATCCATCCAATCAATTTCGAACAAAAGCCCAAACCCCAAAACATGCGTTTGGAGAGACTGACATGGCAGCCCTAATACTCCGAAAACGTCGAGGATGCTAATGTTTTCCTTTTCCTTCTTTTTTGGCACAAACAATCAACAATCTTTCGGGGCTTTATCAAAAATGACTTTAAAATGCTACTTGTATTTCATGGAAGTACCTTCCTCTGAGAAAAAAAAAAATAATCATTTCACATATACCCTTCTCATATATACAATATCCATTATACCCTTGTATTATAAAACAAATAAAAAACATAAAAAAAAATAATTTCCTCCAAAAAAGAAATATTAATTTCTCTCTCCTCATTATCATTTTTTTTATCTCCTCTCCCATTTTTTTCATTCTCTCTCCTCCATCATTTGTGCTTTCTCTCTCCTCCGTATGCGCTCTTTCTCTCATATCTTGCTCTTTCTCTCTCCTCCAATTTTCACTATCTCTCTCTCCTGTCGTCGATTTGCTCTCTTTCTCTCCATCAATTTGCTCTGTATATCTTCTGATTCTCTCTCCTCCGGCATTTGTGTTATCTCTCCTCTGTTTGCTCTCTCCCTCCGTTTGTTCTCTCGTATTTTGCTCTCTCTCTCTCTCTCCTCAATTTTAACTATGTCTCCACCGCCGCCGATTTGCTCTCCCTTCAGATTTGGTCTCTGTGTCCTCACATTTGCTTCATTTATCCGATTTGCTTGTTCTCTCTTCGATAATTTGCGAAACTGCTTCAAAACTCGTGGAAATCAGTGGAAAATCTAATAGAATCGTGCAAATAGGTAAGTTTCGACTTAAATATTGTTATTTTGTGGGTTTTTTCTTGTTTTTGAGTTGTTTACTATGTTTTGTGGGGAAAAATCGAGTCAGATGTTTGATATAGACAAATATCCAGGCAGTTACGCTATCGCAACAATCCACAAGACTGACAGAGGTAATATTATATTGGACTTATGTTCTCCATACTTTCTCCGGGAGACATGGCGGTTGGCTTATCAAGAAATAGTTTATCCGGTTTCCTGATTGTTATGATTGGATCATTGACGACCCACTGGATGCAAATCTCGTGGTATTAACTTCGATTGTGGAAGATAAACACAAAATCTGTAGACCCAAACAAAATCGGGTTCCAGGCCCCGGCAAACCGCGGACAAAGCGTTCAAAGAAGGACAAACAAAAATATTGCATAAATAATATGATTGTATGATTTCATGTGGTTCTCGTGACCCATGTGATTGTATACATTTTCCAGAAGGAAAATCTATTTGAATAAGGTGATTTTCTTTGCACTAGTACTGTGTTAAAGTCTTGAAAAGATAGAAACAAGTTTTGAACTGTGTGACCCGTGTGACTCACCCGTGACCTATGTGATTCGAATACATTTTTACACTGTGTGACCCATGTGACCCGTGTGACCCGTGACTCGGTGGCACTTATAAAACACGACCAAATCTCGATTTTAAAGTGTTAAAATGGTTTATATGATGTTTTACAATGATAATATGGTATCTCCAAGTTAAATTCGTTAACATAAGTAAGAGTTGTATGAACATTAGTACAATTTGTTCATAAGTTGTCATGAAACACTAGTATCACTTATGAAATACATTTGTATGAGTGACTTGAATATGAAAATTGAAACGAACATGATTTTAAAGTTGTTATTAATGTTAAAATCCATGATTAATCACTGCATAACCATACCAAAACACTAATTCGATAAATTCGACCTATGTGGCCCATGTGACCCATGTGACTCACCCGTGACCCGTGACCTATGTGACCCGTGTGACCCGTGACTCATGTGACCCATGTGACCCGTGTGACCCATTGAACTTATGTTTTTTTTCTTTCTCATTTCCAAGTAAAAGTAGAAGTAAAATCCAAAATACGAAAGAGTTTACAAAAACTAAATTTACAAACTATGAAAGAATTCATAATAAATAACGGGTTAGTTGTACACAATTTTACCATTACAAAATATATCGATAAACAATTTTTCACGGATCAGTGGTATGGTCCCATCGCATATCAACATGAATTATGCTCCCTTGTTCAAACCAGATATAAGTGTGTGCTCAATGATCGAATACCTCACGGGCACACCATTGAGCACGAACCACAACTCCTTCTCGTCTTCTACTTTAACAGAGCGGTTAATGAGAACTCCCGCATGCGCCATATTTAACTGTGGTTCCCATTGCACGTGAAATAGATGTTAGGACTGTGATTCTTTCTCGAAGTACGTCTATTCATCCTATGTTAGTACTTCTTTAAGCGTCTTCAACGTCTCATAGGGATAACACTTCATATTGATTTTCGAAAAAACTGAATGTCTTCGAATTTGTAGACAAATGGAAGGTGCAAAATAAAATAATTGTTCGTCATTATGATCTTTGTGACCTGAGACCTGTGGCTGATATGACCCATGTGACATGTGACCCATGTGACATGTGACCCGTGTGATCCGTGTGCGGTGTTGTGAGTTATATTATACTATTACCATATAAATCCCTGTGACTCACATGAACTTGCACCTTAGGAAATCATTAAACTTGCCAAGGTATTCTGAAATCCCACATCCACACTCTAACTTTCTATTTCGAATTCCTAAAACCCAATTATATTTTTCAAAACAAAAAAAAACCTTAACTTTATATTCAGAAATCCCAAAAATCTAATATTCAATTTCGAAATTCATAAACTCTAAATTTCTATTTTGAAATCCCAAACCATCCAACAAGTTTAATGATTTTACTCCAGGATAAGGTCACAGAAGAAAAAAACGGAGAAGAATATGCAAAAAACCTACCGTTTCTAATGGGAGATCTCTGTCCAACAATGACGAAGATGAACCAGCCTGAGATGCAGACGAAGACGAAGCAGAATGCACATGTGTTCTTGGATCCATGAGTGTTTGATTTTTCACACAAATCACAAGAGAGATACCAAAATTGCAAGGAAAATAGTCTCAGTTTCTGAAAATCACGAGAGAGAAATAGTTGTTCTTGAAATCGAACAAGAGAGAGAGTTTTTGAAATAAGACAAGAGAGAGAGAGTTCAACAGAAGAGAAAATGGGAGGGTGAGAGTTTATGGAGAGAGAGAGATTTCTTTTTTTTTTTTATTAAAAACTTAGTCCTTTCTTAATTGAAAATGCATGGTCCTTTTTGTCTTTCCCTTAAAAGTTAGGGTTATATATGTTTTTAACTCATTTAAGTTTTTCTTTTTTTTAGATTTAATTTTTGGAGGGTAGGGTGTGAAGTAAAGATAGTATTTTAAGGGTATATTTGCTATATTCCCCAATCTTTCATATCCCCCCAAAAAAAAAAGAACCCATGGAAAACAACACCATCATCCATATATGGTTTGTTGTTTTTTTTTTGGTATGAAAAGGTGAATATCATATATAATTAGTGTTTTGTACAAAATCCAGCCGAAGCTGTATAGATATCAATGTTACAAAAGAGTTGTGTCTCGCCTCAATCGCCTAATGTTGCCTTGATCGAATTCCTTCGGACAGCTGATACCAATGCTGGAGTGGAGAATCATGAGCAGAGGTTGGAAGGTTCCTCCTAGAAAGTAGGATGTTCCTCAGGGTCCGATCAATTATAGAAATCACTGATGTCGCCGTTTTGTTTTCGTTCCTAAAAATTCTTGCGTTCCTTTCCTTCCAAATCTGATATGCTGCAATTTGGAGAATAAGTCGTACCAGAATATTTTTGCTGTTGTTGCCTAGTGCTGAAACTATTGTACCAGATCATAAACTGCTCAATCGATGACGGTGGGGATGACCAACACAAGCCGGCGAGCCGATTCCAGATTGAGTGACTGAAACTACACTCAAAGAACAAATGGGTGTGCGTCTCTGGAGCAGCAGAGCATAGTATACATATCGGGTTGACTTGCATACCCCACCAGAGCATAGTACACATATATGGTTTGTTGTTTTAACTTGGAACCATCAATTTATCTTCGGTTATCATCATTTTTAATTGCCCTATATATTTCTTCAAATACGTATATATGTCGTACATTACTTTTAATTTAAGACGAACGTTTTTACACTGCAAATACTAATTTACGAGTTTAAAAAGGCGCAAGTTGTGCTTTTACTGTATTACTTTACACGTTCATATGTCTGTATTCTCTCTAATGTTTGGGGGGATGCAGTGAACGTGGGAAATAATTAAACACAAAAGGAAAAATTGATTAAATTGGTCTTTATTCAATTATTTAATTTTATATTCCGCACATTGGAAATAAAGGCAATTTGTTTTTATTTTGTCAAATTGTTTTCCTTGCTTTAAAACAAAACGACAAATGGGGAGCGGACAATAAGAAAAAGACTTTTGTCGTCTTCTTATTCTCCCCGCATATGCATATGTAATGTGAATAGACGAGTGGGGGATACTTTGGGATAAAGCTCGGCCGAAAGAGATTGCTTCCTGTCCTCCTCATACCTTAAATGTTTTTATTAGATAATTACCAATAAACTTTTATACAACCCCCCCTTTGATCAACATATTTACCAATTGACTGAAATAAACCCAAAGGGTTCCGGCCTCGGATCACTGTCTATTCTATGTATCGAATCAAAACAACGGCAGTGATCCACTGCATCTTCACCCAATCCTAGAGTGACACATGTCCTAAAAGTGGGTCCCAATCACCGTCTCGAGTTGATTTTTTTTTTTTGCATAAGAAGCCACGTGGACCCTCCCCACCCCTCTCTCAGAGGACTTTTGGTATCGATTCGAAGGTTTTTTGCCTTTGAAAATATTTTGTCATTAAGAAGAGTGGAGCCCACAGCAAAGTTTCAGCCTACGCGTGTCATTTCACACGCTTCCCTTCGCTACGCGACAAAATTATATGCCCTTCCCACATCCTAATCGGAGAAATTTAAAAAATAAAACGTTAGTAATGGGGGATTTTTTTTCTTCGGTAGATATGAATTTTCAAAACGATATTTTTGCCAGATTCAGACCGGAGAAAAACGACAGTATATGACAAATAATATATTTAAAAATCTTGAGGCATCCTGATTTTATACGTTACAAAATATACTAGAACAGATAAGTAATGATAATCTATAAAAAAAAAATTGTTTAATTTTATATATTCAATAATGCGTTGTAAGTTGAGTGAAAACTAAATCATAAACAATCACAGTAGATATATTAAAGTTTTCTGAAATTATATCTGAAACTTTGAAAGAGTAATCATAAAAGGGTGATCCTCTATAAGTTAATAATCAATAAATAACCTTGTATCAACTAACTGTTTGTTTTCCCCTAATATAAAATGAAAATTTTCAAAAACAAAAAAAACTTTAAAATAAAACATCTAAAGCATCTCTAGATATCTAAATTCTTATATACGACAAAATATATCACGGTAAATTATTATATATATACATACACACATGTAAGATATGTAATTTTCTAAAAACTGTACATAAATTTTAAAAGTGGCATTTTAGAGTGGAAACTAAATATTTATAAACAATGAATATATTATTTCATACGTGTTCTCAATTTTCTTGCTAGTGATGAAAACAAAAAAAAATCAACATATTTTGAGTTAAGATGTTATCAATTAAATTACATAGTTTATATTAAACTTTGGGAAATGCTGCCTAACATATCAATAATCAATAATCACTTAAACTTTGTTTTTTTCTTAATACAATATCAAATAGCAAAAGAAATATACGTAAAATCAGATATTATATAACAGGTATAATCTAATAAATCTAGAATTCAAGCAACTCTTCTTTGTTTTTATATTTGTTTAATCATGTTGAAATTCCTACGTTCAATTAAAAAAAAAAAAGGAAGAGCTCCCTGACAAAAGACATGGCGTCACGCGCTCAATCCACAAGCAGACAGAACACGTGTCGTCAGTAGTGGCACAACTCGTAATATTTAAGGCAGAGGGAGGGTAGTTCGGGAAATGAGGAAACGTTTTTAATAACGAAAGAAAACAGCAGAACTCTTTTGTCGCCACATGCCATGGCGTTGGTCGCACGCTGGACAACTTTTTTGTCACCTTCCTTTAACTAATTTATTTTTTAATTTTAGTTTCATTAAACCACCTTAATAACATATGAAAAATAAATCGAACGTACACCAAATATCTCTGCCTTTCACCCATCAGTTCAATCATTTTTAATGGACTTTTTAGTCATATAATTCTATAAAGATATATTTTTGGCTAAATGCGGATCAGAAAAGGGATATTTTCATGTTTTCATATATCATAAAATGCGAAACATGTCTATCCATTGCTATCTTTGATATTAAGATTAACCCATTTCCACCAACCTAAGAGGGCACAAATATCGTGCGAACTTTTCGATTAGTGGTAAATGACAAGCATTAGCACCTTCTTACGTTTCAAAGTTGTATTAGTAATATGTCGTTTCGCAACATAATTGGATAACTAATAATGAGGGGAATAATTTACAAACAACAAATTACCAAACTTAAACTAAGAATAAACTTAATATATAAAAATAATTACGTGAAAAAGATTTTTTTTAAAAAAAAAAGAAAAGAAAAGAGAAGAGAGATGGTCAAAAGGAGCACTTATGAGGAGGGGTGTCAGGAGGAGGACTGGCGTGCCAATAGCCAAACCTTACGCAAATGACAGCGTGGCCAATCTCTTAAATTAACACTTGCAAATTGCAATTAAATCCATATTTCTAAATCCACTCCTTTTCTCTAATATCTAATATTTTTATTTTATGGTTTACAGTAAGCATCCCAAAAAATCCGTATCTCTTGTTGGTCTTTCGTTAAAGTCTCCAACGTGGCCGCTGACGTGGCTTGTTACCGGTAACAAAGACACCCCAAGATTAGGAAAGCAAGGTAGTTACTGGGTTTGAATTAATTGATGCATACACATAGGGTTGTTTGGTAATGAAACGTTTTATATGTGTTTGGTTCTATTCGTTCACATTTAAGTACGATTAATAATCAAAAGCCACACTTTTATGTCGATGATGGATTGGATTTATTCGGATGTTTATTATAAATATGAGAATATTCGATGTTGATTTAAAAATTTTAAATGTAGAAAAGAAGAACACTTCAATTTCATGTATGTAGAATTGTAGATGGAGGTTTAATTATCTTAAAATTACCCGAATTGAAAAGTGGATGAAAGTGGGACCCACATGACGAATAATATAATTCGGCCGTCCGCTTTGGCCTCTTTCTCTCTCTCATCGCCCCGGTCCTGTGGCCACCTTCCGATTGCTTTCTTTTATTTTTTTCCCCTCTTCGTCTTCTCCTCCAGCTTCTCTTCCCTTTGACTCTTTCTCTCTCTATCTCCTCGATCTATATAGCTCTCTGTCTGTGTCTGTACCATAGTGGACCTCTGTGTCTCTGTACTTGTCTTTCTCTCTTTGCTCCAGTGCCCAAGTCTTATCCTTTTTTCCATTGGCAAGAATTTTTACCGGATTAGTTCGAAACATCCAGAGCCAGAGATTGAAGGACAGTTCATTGGGTTTGGCTTCTTTGTTCGTTTGCTCTGTTGTCTCTTGGGGGTTTTGGCGTTGGGGGTAATATGAGGTCGTCTCTCTGAGTTTATTCCTCCCTACAATTTTTTGTTTGTTTGTCTGGAGATCGTTTTCTGGGTTGTTTGTGATTTTCCGGGAGCATGGCTGGTGACAACGAAGTCAACCTTAAGGAGTGCAAGGTACCCTTTTTTTTTATTATTGTATCCTCCTTGATCTCTCTTTGGTTTCATTTGATGAATTTGTGTAACGGTTTCTTCGAATTTCCTGGAATTGGAGTGTGTTTCCTTTCCTTTCCAAGTTCTAATTCCTGATCCAAGAGATTTCACTTGTCATGTTTCCAAGATTTGATGGCTTTTCGCTCCTTTTTCTTTTGACGATTCCGCTTGCGTTTCTTCATCGTTTGTTGTGGATTCCGTATGCTGTTTTTGCTTCTTCGGTACGATCAAATTTCGAACTTGGGTATGCCCCCATTTGCCTCCTGGAAATAAATCGAATTACTTGTGAAACTGTTGTTACAAGTCTGCACATACTCGGTGCCGATCTGAGCTCGGCGTGTGTTCTAACGTGTAAGTAGGGGTGATCATGAAAGTGTGAAAGACAAGGCAAATCTAACATGTCCCATCCATCTCTCCTTCCTGTAGAGAATTGTCCCACTCAACACATGGGTCCTCATTTCCAACTTCAAGCTCGCTTATAACATCCTCCGCCGCCCCGACGGGACCTTCAATCGAGACCTCGCCGAGTTTCTAGACCGCAAAGTCCCTGCCAACACCATCCCCGTCGACGGCGTTTTCTCCTTCGACCACGTCGACAGAGCCACTGGTCTTCTCAACAGGGTCTACCAACCTGCGCCTGAGGACCAGTCTCGGTGGGGAGCCATCGACCTTCAACAGCCCCTTAGCACCACGGATATTGTCCCCATCGTGATTTTCTTTCACGGCGGCAGTTTCACTCACTCCTCGGCCAACAGCGCCATCTACGACACGTTCTGCCGGCGCCTCGTCAAAATCTGCGGCGTCGTTGTGGTCTCTGTGAACTACCGCAGATCGCCGGAACACCGGTACCCTTGCGCGTACGACGACGGCTGGGCCGCTCTCAAATGGGTCAAGTCGAGAACGTGGCTTCAGAGCGGAAAAGACTCCAAGGTTTATGTCTATTTGGCTGGAGACAGCTCAGGAGGCAACATAGCCCATCATGTTGCGGTGAGAGGAGCCGAGGAAGGAGGTGAAGTGTTGGGTAACATTCTTCTCCATCCGATGTTTGGTGGGCAAGAGAGGACCGAGTCGGAGAAAAGACTGGACGGTAAGTACTTCGTGACAATACAGGACCGAGATTGGTACTGGAGGGCTTATCTGCCTGAAGGAGAAGACAGGGATCACCCAGCCTGTAACCCGTTCGGACCGCGCGGCCAGAGGCTTAAAGGACTCAACTTTACAAAGAGTTTAGTTGTTGTGGCCGGCCTTGACCTCGTTCAGGATTGGCAATTGGCGTACGTGAAAGGGCTGAAGAAGGTCGGGCAAGATGTTAAGCTTCTGTTCTTGAAAGAGGCGACGATCGGGTTCTATTTCTTGCCTAACAACGATCACTTCCATTGCCTCATGGAAGAGATGAGGAGCTTTCTGCATTCTAACAGTGAATAGCCGGTCCCGGTTAATTGACTCCACAACAACCGGCGGGTCTGATTACACAAAGGAAGCCCCTTTTGTTTTTCCATCGATGGGTTTGTACAGTTTTTACAAGTCTCTTACTAGTAGTAGCAGTAGCAGTACTTCAACTAGGTTTCGGAGAAATCTGGTTATTGTGGGATCTGGTAGAGCCCAGAAGCCGAAACCAGCTCGGTTATGCGTAGGAGTGAGTGCTGTTTCCCCTGTTCAGCTTATCCGGTTTAGGGCTAGACCGGGGGGATGATAGTTATCGTCGTCCATGGGTGGCGGTAGGGCATGGTTGGGTTTGAGAGGGTAAATATACAAGAAGACACTAATTTTGTCTGAAGATGTATCCTTTGTATGTGATATAGTACGTTTGTGTTTCTTTCTTCTAGGCTTTTCTTTTGTGTAAAGGGTCGGTCTGTCCTGTCTCTGTTTTTCCTGGTATTTTGTTACGTTGCCTTCGAAAAGCACCACGTCTCCCTCTCCCGACCTCAGATCGTTATTGCCATCGTTTTTGGTTGTTTCAACCTTAAACGCCTTGGAAAGACAAAATCTTTCAAGTACCCACTTGGATCTATTCGGTCGACGCGATAATCTTTTTGTCCGAAGGAAATAATAATAACAAAAACAGAAAGAAAGGAGATAAATGGTAAGGAGGAGGTGGGGAGAAGAGGCGAAGGGCATTGCTACATATGGAAAACCCTAGGAAGCCAAGTGGCATATTAGAGAGAGATGGGTAAGTAAATGTGGTTGCGTTTGCGTGTGTCTAATTAGAGACCAAAGAAAAAGGGGCACAGAGCTGAAACCAAACCCCATCCACCCAATGCGAAAGCAAAATGGTCATTAATGATTGGACAAAAATGTCAAACTCAACAAAAGGGCACTCCTTTTATTCTTTTTTTTTTCCAATTTTTTTTCCTTTGTCATCTTTTGGTTCCTTTTACCTTTTGGAATTATGGGGGGAAAATACCCATATATATATATATATATTTTTTTTTTGGTAATTCCCAAGAGGGTTAATAAAACTTTGGGGGGCATGGACCCCCACCTTTGAAATAACAAGTCCATTTTGGTGGATATCTGTTTGTTTGTTTGTGTGTAAACGGATGCAATGCATTTCAATATCACCTCGTATATATATATATGATGGCTTGTTCATAATTTGCTTTATTCTGTATTGTGGATGCCGAGTGGTGGGGACAGCGAGGCTTGGAGAAAGCCTCTCTCTTTCTATCCCTTTTCTTTTTGGCAATATACTTTTAAACCCTTTTTGAGGCAAATTAATACCCACTTTCTCAAATTTTCGGTAACTTATCAGATTCTATGTGATCTAAGTTATTGTCCGGAAGGAACCATCCCTGTCTATTTCTATGTTATAAAAAAAAGTCATTTTTTATCCTCGAAATTAAAAAAAAAAACAACATTTGAAGTGAGTATTTTGGTATTTAACTTTATATCAAAGTATCTTATAATTGTTTGTAAATCGAAGACGTTTGGTCCTAACTCGTACATTTCAAAGAAAACATAGATTCCTTTTTAGATTTTTATTTCTTGTAATTTTTTTTTTGTATACCTCGATGAAATAACTTTAATTATATTTCTCTTTTCCTGATTATCATTGACTTTCTAGGCCTACCTTGGGTGTCAAATTTTATATCACAGAAACATGTTTTAATTTAACTAAGTAGTACCATATTTTTGTTTAATTAATGCTATAATAATTTATAAGACTAATTCGTTTTTTTGTCGTGTAACGAAATGTCTTTGGAGGTATCTGCTGTTGTAATTAATTTAATGTTTCCGGTTTGGAAAATATTATATTAGAGATGAGAACAAAAGGCAGGTCGCACTCAAGAGCTTGTTGTCTTTAATTCAGACAAAAACCCTTAAATTTGTTTGGTCATTAATCAACATCTTGCTGTTTCTTATTCGTTAATTTACCCGATGTGGGGTTTGATTCTCCATTATTTCTGCGTTCATACTGGTATATTTTTTTTTGGGGTATTGGGTGTTTTGTCGTTTTGTGTAACCCTATTCAACGGTTGATCCAAATTTTAAAAATGGTATTATATGATCCATTGAATCTCGAGCTCAAGTGTTTGGTTGGAGGAATCTTCGTTATCCCCCGAAAGATTAGTGTTCAGCCTCACTCTTTGTGTGGATCCGAACTCTGTGTTTTATGGAGGTAAACTTGGAGTTTAATCGAAAAATTTCATAGGATGGAATAAACACAAATAGTGACGCAGACAATATTTAAATATTTTGTAAAGTTCAAGAATTTCGGTAGAGAGGAAAATGGTGTCAAGGTCGTGCAAAATGGCAGGGGACGCAAGGCAAAACGCAGAGCTAACTTTGGGAAGTAATGAATAGCACAGTTTCCCTGCGTGGAAAGTGTGACAGATGCCCTTCCCATTAATCATATTTAAATAGATTTAGAAAAACAAAACATAACATATATATATATATATATATATATATGTATATGTATATGAATATATATATATGTATATTCCTTTCAATCGCCGAAAAGAAAGACAAGACTCAAGAGCATTCAACAAAGAGTCAAATAGCAAGACAGGAAGCTCTGCCATTCCCTGTCAGCGAATACACACCAGAAAATTCAACATCCTTTGCTCCAGGCTCCACCCTTTCTCTTTTTCATTCAAAAGCAAAGGTGGATCCTAACCAGCTGGAAACTCTGCAAAGGCAATGTGCCCTTTGCTTCCTAAAATCAAAGGAATCAAGGGAATGAATGCTTTTCTTTCTACCATGTTACATATGACATGAGCATAGACTATGTACATGTAGTGTTCTGTCTCGCTCTCCTGCCTTTGGAGAACTTGCCCATCTCTTCTCTGCATTGTGAATTCCAAAGAGAGTTTGGGGGTGACACCAAATCCCCTCCCCCAGTGTCCTCGAGGTTCAGCATATAACTAAACGCTGCTGTATTTGGTATAACGACCCAAAAAAAATTGATCTCAGAGAAAACTTATTCAGCTCTCTTCCCTGATCTGAAGACAGCTCCTATCTTAATTTTCTATAGCTTTGCTCTAAAGATCACCTACATTAGATCTCAAACCCAGCACTAGATTGGCCAAGGCTACTCTCTATCCAAGGCAAGTGATAGTCATGTTTCAGTCACAAAACTCGGAAGGTGCATTTTACCTTTGATTCTCATGGATCGCATATTCCATCCCAAGAAATCTCTCCACTGTTCAAATAGCCTCTATTCCACCAATGTCAAAAGTGTTATAGGGTTGCGGAAACCCATGCCCATGCTTTAACATCATTCCGGCCACTTGATCGATCTTATATTTCTGGCCATGCACTGTGTACACTCTATGCAGTATGCAGAATGTCTTTTTGATCCGTCTAATGTTGAAATTATCCATCTCGTAGAGGGTGTTTTCCATTTCACTTAGACGCTTATGAGATCCATACATGATCATCAACCCATGGTATACAGACCTGCACATTCTCCAGCCAGAAGACTGAGCCCGCTGCACAAAGCCGGCAAGCTTATCCACTGCATTGGACCTGAAGTAACTTGCAACGACTGATCGCATTATACCGATTGTCTCTATTTGAACTTCTTTTTCAAAAGCCTCATTAATGAAGTCCTCCATTGCTTCTAGATTATCCTCTTGTGCATACATCTGTATCAACAGCGCATTCAACCAAGGCTTGTAACTTTTTCTTGGAATAAGCCTGGATAAAGTCTCGATTTTTCTTACCTTATCTTTGTCAGCATTCCTAGAATATGCACATATCATGGACTCTATTAATGGGATTTCCTTCCTGTTAACATAATGTTTCACAGATTCATATGTCTCTTCCATCCGTGAAAGATTTCCTGAGTTTGCATACCCACGGAGCATCAACAAGTAAGTGCCGATGTTAGGCTTTACCGGGCCATTCTTCATCATCTTAAACGTCGCTTCCACCTTATCCCACTTCCAAGCACGAATATACTCGGCGATCAAGTTATTGTACGTGCTCATATCCGGAGGGATTTTCAGCTCTTTCAGTTCCTTGAACACAGCTTCCATTCGATCAACCATCATCCACCGCCCATATGCAGAGATGAGAATGTTATATGTCGAAACTGATGGACTACAGCAATGTTGCTTCTTGAGTTCTCCAAAAAGTTTATTGCATTTCTCTGTCAGACCACTCCACATGTAAGCACCCATCAAAGCATTGTATATGTAGGTAGTCTTAATCTGCTTTTTTGCAGCCTCATCAAACAACTCAACCGCCATATCCAAATCCTTTACTCTACCAGAAATCGTGATACCCTGTGCATATTCATCAGCTGTCAAGGCTTTGCCACCACATTCCGCTTTATTTCTTCTCCAATTGAAGACCTGCACCAAAGCAACCGGACTCGTTCAGGCAACTTTTGCTTGCTTCTCGCAAAACTCACACCGCATTCACACTTCCATTTTCGAAATCACTGATAGAATAACAAATTACGAGGCACCTGATGATGGATCTACAGTAGAAGAAATCGAAATGCAGCTCAATCCAAACATTAAAAAAAAGGAGAGAAATTGAGTAAAACTTCACCTCCAGAGCCAAAACCGGCCATGGACGTAACTGTCTCAAGAGCTCAATAACGGCAGCTCCTTCGCGATAGCTATGTAACAAAAACCTCTCATTTTTGTCCAAAACCATAGTCACCTTATCTGGATGGTAGTTTTGCAGCAATTCGTCCTTCAAAACCGACGCTTTGCGGGGCATATCATCCCGGGGGGGTGCCATAGCTCGAACCCGGGATTTTCCGGTGAAAATAGACCTCAACCGATGGGTCCGAATCTGGGAGCGGAGTTCCCGGGGAAACGGAGGATGTTTCGGTGACCGGAAGAGGGTGAAACAGAAAGGGGTAAGAGTTCGGAAGGTTGAGGAAGATCCGCGAGAAAGGCGAAAGTGATCAGAAAACAGAGGGATCTGTGAGATTCTCCAGATCCGCTTCATCGAGATTGAGATCTTCGCCGGCGGAGATCAGCATCTGTTCCAGGGTTTTTCCAGGGTTCACCCCCTCCCGTTCCATCCACACGAACGAGCGCCGTCGAGAGAGCGAGACAAAACACTTTTGACGGATCGGGCCATTTAGCAATGGGCCAATCAACAAGGTTAGTTTTGGGCTTTGAACTCTTTGGGTTTGAAGCCCAATATTTATAATTACCGTTTAATTGTTTGGCTTAAACACGATTCAAATAATTGTGCATCTTTCTACATAATACTTTAAAAAAAAAAAAAGACGTATTTGTATTTGCTATACAAACACTACTGACCATAATAATCTTCTTGCAGATTACTTACTAACTATAAGAAAGGAAAACAAATAAGAGAAAATAGATAAACTTGGAAAGACGGCCAAAAAAAAAAAAGGAAATTTGTGTGGCAGCTCAGCTCAACGTTGTCGTTTAGCAATAGCGGGAAACCACCGACTACAGATGTCCCACTCCCTTGTAATAAGGGAATCTCTCTGTTCCGATCCGATCATGCTAAACGAAACCCACATAATAAAGAACACACGAAACAGACAGAGATCACAAGCATCGCCGAGATCCATCTTTCGCAGGTTCTTAATTATTTTTCTCTTTGGGCAGAAAGAGACGCAAACCACCTTTCTTCTTTCTGGGCGGAAGCAGAGGAGCAAGTTTCTGACGATTTCTTTCCATAGGGGTCGCTGTTACATATTAAAGTCTCATCCTTTTTTCTCCTCTGCTTTCCCGTGTTTTCTCTTTTCCATCTCACTCAATTTTGTGGCTCCAGGCTTCTTCTGCTCGGAATTCTGTGTTAACTGTACAAACGGAAGAAATAGAATCCAGATTTATAACTGAGGGCGATGGGAAATGGAGGCGGCGATGGTGAAGCCCGGGAGCCATTGGTGCAGAAGAAACTGGCCGAGAAAGAAGAGCAACTATGGATGGGTTATCTCAGCACGTTTGTTGCAGTTTGTGGCTATCTCAGCACGTTTGTTGCAGTTTGTGGCTCTTTTGCGTTTGGTTCTTGTGTAAGCAGATCTGAATCCGCCCCGATTGGAGTTAGACGGGGGAGTTACCTCGGAAGGCTTCTGTAGAAATAAACCGCAGGCTATTGAGTTTCCCGAAGGAGGCTTATTGTTGTGGTTTATGCTTGTTTGATGAGTGCCTTTTTCCTCAATTTTCTTGCAGGCAGGCTACTCTTCTCCTGCTCAGGCTGCCATAAGGGAAGATCTTTCTCTGTCTCTAGCTGAGGTATTTAAAAAAAACGTCTCTTCAAGGAAATGAACCATTGTTGATTATCTGAATTGAATCACATAATCCTCACATCAATGAGTTATGAGTCTAGGACCAAAGTTTGGTTAACTCTGCAATGGATTCCGCAGTTTTCACTCTTCGGCTCCTTGCTGACATTCGGTGCGATGATCGGTGCCATCATGTGTGGGCCAATAGCTGATTTGGTTGGCAGAAAAGGGGTAAGGAGAAAGTTCTAAAATTTCTATCAAATCCGATCAAAGAATGTACTTTTTCTGCGAATTTTCTGTGTCTGATTTAATTTGTGGTCAAACCTTATTTGGTGTGGAACTGTTTTTCAGGCGATGAGGGTTTCATCTGCCTTCTGTGTTGTCGGGTGGCTTGCTATCTTCTTTGCTAAGGTTTCAAGCTCCAAAACATCATCTTCTTTCTTGTGACATTTGAGGCAAATGCGTATGTTACTCCTAGTGTTGCCTTATACATCTGTCTGTATGCTGCATGCAATGGACTCTATACCAAAAGGGACCAGTGGCTCTGGATATTGGGAGACTGGCTACCGGGTATGGAATGGGAGCATTCTCCTATGTGGTGAGCCAATGTATTCTTTGTTGAACGTTTCTTTGTGCAGGATCAGATCGATGCTTACAAATGTTTCTGATGTTACTTTGATGGAAGGTACCCATCTTCATAGCAGAAATTGCTCCTAAAACCTTCAGAGGGGCACTGACCACTCTGAATCAGGTAAAGGACGCTTGTTTTTCTCTGAGAAAAGTCTTGATTGTGTTGGAATGCACTGAATCACATCTCGTCTGTGCCTCAGATTCTGATCTGCACTGGAGTTTCCGTTGCCTTCATAATCGGCACAGTACTGACATGGAGAGTGTTAGCGCTAACAGGTTATAAAACTTTGATACATCATGGAGGCATATCTATCGATGAGAACAATGTTGCCAAGTCTTGTAATTTTACATCAAAATTTTGCTTCAGGAATCATCCCATGCGCTATTTCCTTCATTGGCCTCTTTTGTATCCCTGAGTCTCCAAGGTGGCTGGTAAGAACAGAAGGAAAACCCAAAAGCACCATCTTTCAAATGGTTTTAGTTTAGGCAGATGGGTGTAAATGTGATCGCAGGCAAAGATGGGGCGTCATACAGAGTTTGAAGCTGCATTGAAGAGCCTTCGTGGCAAGAATGCTGATATATCACACGAGGCAGCAGAGATTCAGGTTCTTGGATCTAATGTATAAAGTTTTTCCTTAAGAAATCGTCTTGTTATCTGAACTCGTATCTAATATTCTTGACAGGAATACATAGAAACCCTGGAACGGCTACCGAAGGCCAAGATGCTGGATTTGTTTCAGAGGAGATACCAACGCTCTGTTCTTGTAACAACCTTTCACGATAACGTTATCTGCGTACCAGCTTTCTTCTTCACTATGTTGCAACATTTCTTACTCATTTTTCTGCTTCCAAGCAGATAGGATTCGGGTTGATGGTGGTTCAGCA